TATTTACGAACACCACCATGACTTGGTTGAACGGTAAGTGATATCTATATCATAGATGACCATATTTATCGTAGCCCCGAACATTTTTTGTCATTAATTTATGGCTGATGAGTCATGCAAGTCCTTTTCAACTGGATTTACGAAGTAAAAATCGGTTATTGATTTCTGGATGTACGGCGGGCAGGCGGCTGCCAAACAGTGTCCGTGCATTTACTAATGAACCGTTCAACCAAAGCTTTCCAATTTTAATATGTTGTTACTGCGATTTTCACTTTCACCGTTCAGGAGTTATGGTTCTTGAAAGACGGAAAAATTGTGTTTCCAGTCTTGTCCGTGCTGTAACTCATGAACCGTTTAACCAAAGCTCTTCAAAAATTAATAAGTTGTTACTGGTGATAAAGATGGAGGTCAACTTCGATATTGACGATTTTCACTTTCACTGTTCAGGAGTTATGGTTTTGAAAGATTGAAAAATGGTGTTTCCAGACTTGTCCGTGATGTAACTCATGAACCGTTTAACCAAAGCTTTTCAAATTTTAATATGTTGTCACTGATGACGAAATGAATGTCAACTTCGATATTGACGATTTTCACTTTCATCGTTCAGGAGTTATGGTCCTTGTGATGTTGAAAAATGCCAGAACACAAATAAATGTTACAAAGTTCGGTTTGCTGTCGGTCTGACAGCCTCTAGTTAAATGATTTGTACAGTATGTTTGTGTCTGTGCTGTTACATCACTATCCTATGAGAGGAGATGGTTTTTAGCTCGCAGCCATGATTAACCTCTTCACGCTCTATTCAAATCGTTAATTTTAAAAAAAAGTTATCTAAATAACAATTTAATTTTCTTATTTAATCAAAATAATGAAAATACAATTTTCTTTTGGTAAAGTGTAGTTGAAATTCATGTGAAAAATTTACGTGGGTTTCATGTGTAAGCTCATTTGAATCTCACGTGAAATTCACATGAGCAACTTTTGCCTGTGACCATCTACTGACCGCTATACATCATGTACTGTGTAACAAAGCTAGCTAAAACCGACAAACGAAAAACTAATTGTTATATAGCCTAGTTGGTCTGGTGGTCTAGGGCGCTGTACAAAGTGCAGGTGTTGTTGCCACATCTTTATAACTTATCATGCGTTATGGTTATGGTTCAGGCTTCCTGAAGGCCCAATCTTCTTTTTTGTACCTATTGGCGTCATGAGCATAATGTATGCTTGATGTTTTGTCTATGTTTATATATACATATATACATTTATGTTCCTCTTAGTTATTGCTTGTACAAATATAATCGAAAAGAAAAAATCATTGTGAGCTGTAATGAATGCTGTAAGTAAGAGATATTTTTTGTTTTTTGTTTTTGTTTTTGTTTTTGTTTTTTTTTTTTGCTTTTGCCAAAATTCCAAATTGCTGTGAATTTTTATTTACTGATTTATTTTCTATTCTTTTTCAAATATATGGATAATTCTATATGATATATGTATTATTTGAATATATTATAATTTATAACAGTTTCTTTATACATGTCTAGTGTCTTTTTATTGTTGTTTTCAAGTTTGTTGAGAACGTTTTCCTATATTTTCCTGTACATCTGTCAATGCTTTCCGTGATTTGTCAAAGTCATCCTTTGACTCATTAGAAAAACAGGTTTGACCAATAGCATGCTTCAGAATAAACTGTTATACTATCAACACCAAATTATCATTCAAAACAATTATTGCAGCTTCCTGATTTAAATGGTTGTTCTACGTTGAATAATTATTTAAATGCAAAATATAGTAAGTTTACTCAATGATATAATTGATATAATGCATCATTTATATAAAAGTTCAATAGAAGGCAATAGTTTTACGTAGGAACGAAACATAAATATATTTTCCAATCATATTTACATTAAATGACTCTTTGTTATATGTAAAATATAAAATACAATATTGTACAGAGAGGATATGTATTATTTCTAATGAAATACCAAAACTATGTTGGCACTTCATTTATATATCTTTCCCTTCGCGGAATTCGAACTCAATGTAAGAGAAAAGCGCTACATGACAGTTCCTCGGTTCATAACACTGTAAATAATTTTAGTAGCATAGAATTCTTATTGATACATACTGAATAAATCATAAGTATGTTTTTCTTCCTTTGGCAGTCGAAGCAATTGGTATACATTCAAGGCTTTTTCTTCATGAATACTTCTAATTGAATTAAACTCAAACAAAATCAACTAACAAATTGTGTGAGTTCTGGTGCTATGCAAAAGAGTGTAAGCTGCCCTCTGTTTCCCATTTACACCCGTCATGATTTGTTTTAAATGTGTATCATATTTTATTGATAATTTTGACATTTGTTAGTAGAATACAAAAAGTACGGGTACCTTATATAATATACCAGTAGTATATAACAATTTGGTTAGTACTTATAGGTTTACTTTATCTGAAATATATACAGTTATTCAAATTAATTCAAAAAGCTTTCATGTTAATTCCTGGCTTTCTCAGGTTTTCAAAGAAATAAAGCAACATTTGTTTGTACAAAATTATACCATATGGTAATAAAATGTGTTTTTTTTTTTTTGTTTTTTTTTTTATTAAATAATTCATTCTCCATACTACTCTTCACAATGTCGATTGTTCACTTGCTGACGAAATGCCCGATGGTATAGATCAATTTATAATATCAAGGAACAAGTATAAAATATTATTAATTATCAGAAGCACATGAGTTTTCAAGTTTTATTTTACTGTGTAGCTTTTTCTACACTGTTATTGGTTTGTTCGACATTATTGTTTTTTCCATGTGTTGTCTGTTTTCTTCAACTTGAGAATGATCCTTTGGTATCGCACCCACTTTCTTCTTGTCAATTAGATTAACTAGTCGTATGTTCTCTATTGATGTTTTATTTTGCTTTTTTGATTATTTATTTGCATTTTCCCAACATTGAAGCTGTATTTTTTAACAACATTATATGCATTGTTTTTCAGTGTTACCAGTCTGATTATTTTATTGTAGACTGTACACTGAACGTATGTCACAATGATTTATTAAGTCTTTTTGTATTCTTGATTATCGCTCTTTCTCTGTGACACGTGAGCAGAACTTATCAGCGACGTCCCAATGTTTACGGTGACTTTATTAAGCTTACTTTCGTCAAGTTAAACCTGTCTAAGGGTGAGGATAAGTACCAGAAAAAACATGATAGATTATCAGATTTTCTGCGTATATGTACAGTATTATATCAGCTGCTCAACACGCTGTGAAGCGTTTTAGCTTGTTTGCTGCACTCACGCACCAAAAAGGTTCACATTATTGCTCACGGCTGATATTTTACGATTTTTTTGTACAGCAAACCCGATATTCTGTACGTTTACATCAAAAAGATCAAATTTCGTACGTTTATCACTGCCGTCTGCGATATGGTTTGGCCAATACATGAACGCCGATAAGAAATTGTCCATTTCTATATAAAATCGTACTGAGTATTTATCTTGCATTTATTCAAGAACGAGTTTCTTAATAGAGGATAGCTGATAAGACGGGAGATACTAAACCGAGGGTTCTAAAAGATGAAGCTTGAGTAAACTCGTTGACATATTTACGAACACCACAATGACTTGGTTGAACGTTAAGTAATATCAATATCATAAATGACCATATTTATCGTAGCACGAACAAATCCTTTTTTTGTTTATAATTTATTAAGTTAAGGCTGATGAAGCAAGTCTTTTTTCAGCTGATTCTTATTTTTAGATGTTTGGGATAGGTTAAGAGAGGGTTGTATGCTCACAAACATGATTAACTTCTTCGGATTATAATTAAACCTGTCCAACACCATGACCTGTAATCAGTGGTTGTCGTTGGTTGCTGTATATCATATTTGTTTTTCGTTCATTGTTTTAGCGTTTATCAGGCCGTTTGTTTTATTATTTTATTATTTTATATATGGCCATGTCGAGGATCTTTATAACTTACTATGCAGTATGGTTATGGTCCTAGCTGAAGGCGATAGTTGTTTAATCTCAATTTTTGTGGTTAATGTCGTTTGAGCATCACGACGGATGACAATGGTGGAGAAGAAGCAGCTCATACAAGTGAGAGGTTAACTAGCTATAAAAACCAGGTTTAATCTATCATATTCTAAATAAGGAATTGCCTGTACCAAGTCGGGAAGGTGACAGTTGTTTTCTATTCGTTTGATGTGTTTGAGCCTTTGATATGTCATTTGATAAGGGACTTTCTGTTTTGAATTTTCCTTGGAGTAAGGTATTTTTGTTATTTTACGTTTGACATTCCCATGCATAACACCAGGGCTTACACCAAATTTAGTAGGAAGTATCAATAATGTAAAAGACTTGTATACAAATTGCTTCGACCACCAAAAGGAAGACAAATATTACTTATCGTTATTGAGTATGTATCAATAAGAATTTCATGCTACTAACATTATATCCTGTGTTACAAAGTTTAAGCCGACTAGGCACTGGTCTGTGGTGCATGTCCTTTAGCTGGAGTTTGCAAACCACTGATGGAAAAATATAAATGCAGTGCCAAATAGTTTTGATGTTTCCATTAAAGGGTTTGTTCAACACAGAGTCATTCACGGTCTTTCACGGTAAATAAAATTGGAAAATGTATTAACAATTCATTCCTTAATACAAATATTGTCTTCAATTATCATTTATTCTATTTAGTGTTGATAGTAGATGTTTTAGTCTCTATTAAATTTGTTCATAGCTTTGTTAGACGTGACGATTTAGATCGTAACATATTGTATATACCCATGTCTTTTGTTGAAGTTTGTATAACTCATGATTGACATTCACAACAGTATACTATGTAAGTACCAAATTTTATAATATGATGCTTAAAACGAAAACACGTATCTTCTTTCTTTTTAAAGGTTAACATTAGCGTGTCTCAGCTGTCGCACATATTTTGAAATGCGCAGTTTATTATTATATATAATATTTGGTTTACGTTTCAAAAACATTCTGAAATAAGAGGATTTATCTCAAGAAACCAAACGGTAAGAGTTTTGCAATATAATTTTCTGAATACATTCTGGTATTTACCAGATACATTAAGTATTATTAAGGATTTAGTTTTATAATCTGGAAATAAAATTTAATTTTTATTTTTTATGTGCAATACGACGTACTTTTAATTAATTTTGGTTTCGAGGACAGGCCGACATGGTTGGAGAATGCAGGTATTGGCACCGTTAAAGACACAATTCTATTTTAATGTTCATGTCATGGTTGAAAAATGCATAGAATGGCACCATTATGGACTCTTTCATAATTTTGTGTTCTTGTGCGTGTCAATGGTGGGGCAAATCTGTTTTGTTATTGGAGGTTAACCTGTGATAATGTAAACGTTACAAAAAATACGTAACGTTTTGTGGCATTGATAAATTCGTGCGACGCGCAGTTTATACTTCGTTTGTGGTGTCCTGGTGTACTGTCGTTAATTCATGGGAGGTGTCCGTTGTTATTCTGTGGTTTACTTGTTGTAATGTACTACTATATTATTTATTTATGTATTTCTCTGTCTTAAGTGTCATATAAGCGGGAGGTTTGGCTAGTCATACAACCAGTTTCAACCCACCATTTTTCTCAAAATGTCCTGTACCATGTCAGGAATATTGCAGTTGTTATCAAATTGTCCGTTTCTATGTATGTTGTCGGTTTTTTTTTTTGCTGCAGTTCAATATTTCTGTTGTTACGTTGTTTTCCTCTTATAGTTGATGTGTTTCTCTTGGTTTAAATTTGAAACCCGGATTTGTTTGACTATTGAACAGCGGTAAACTACTGTTACCTTTATCCTGTCCCATATCAGGAATATCATGACAGTTGTTTTAAGCACATTCAATCGGATTTACGTAATCTGTACTATTTATGACGTTGCTGTATGAAATTAAAGTATTTTATCTATAAAATAACAGCAATTACATAAGTTTATAGGAAAGCATCAATTTATATCAGTAGAAACTATGAAAGAAAGGCGAAAGACACCAAAAAGGACATTCAAACTTATAACATGAAAATAAACTGAAAACGTCATGGCAAAAAAAAAAAAAGAAAACAAAAAGACCATAAATCAAGCAACAGTTTACAAAACACTATAGACTGAGAAACACGAACCCCACAAAAACTGCGGACGATTGCAGGTTCTCCGGATAGGTAAGAAGATCCTGCTCCACTAGTGGCAACACTCTTTGATACGGTCTTACATAGTTAGTCTTTTCCTTTTTGTTATCTATTTCACTGTTATATTAGGGTTAACGACTTTTCTTGTACTGATATTTAAATGCCTGTAAATAAAATTGAGAATGGAAATGGGGAATGTGTCAAAGAGACAACAACCCGACCATAGAACAGACAACAGCAGAAGGTCACCAACAGGTCTTCAATGCAGCGAGAAATTCCCGCACCCGGAGGCGTCCTTCAGCTGGCCCCTAAACAAATATATATACTAGTTCAGTGATAATGAACGCCATACTAAACTCCAAATTGTACACAAGAAACTAAAATTAAAAATAATACAAGACTAACAAAGGCTAGAGGCTCCTGACTTGGGACAGGCGCAAAAATGCGGCGGGGTTAAACATGTTTATGAGATCTCAACCCTCCCCCTATACCTCTAGCCAATGTAGAAAAGTAAACGCATAACAATACGCACATTAAAATTCAGTTCAAGAGAAGTCCGAGTCTGATGTCAGAAGATGTAACCAAAGAAAATAAACAAAATGACAATAATACATAAATAACAACAGACTACTAGCAGTTAACTGACATGCCAGCTCCAGACTTTAATTAAACTGATTGAAAGATTATGTCTTCATCATATGAATATCAGGCATAATCCTTCCCGTTAGGGGTTTAGTATCATACCATCATAACATATATGAGAAGAACATAACCCGTGTCATGCCAACAACTGGTTTTTAAATAAATGTGTTTAGTGCCGATGCAAAGACCCTATAAGTGAATCAATATTAACGCCAAAATATGCAATCTTTAATGACCTGACAACAGTATCGTAACTATATCCCTTCTTAATAAGTCTATTTAAAGGTTTTGTTAGTTTCAGAGGTGAATACTGACATTTTTGTGCTTTATAAAGAATATTTCCATAAAAAATTGGATGTGAAATACCTGAACGTATAAGAAGTCTGCATGTTGAGCTATATTTACGAATGATGTCCTTATAGCGATGATAAAATTTAGTAAATGTTTTGACTAGTTTGTGATATCGAAAACCCTGGTGTAATAATTTTTCAGTAATACATAAATTTCTCTCGTTAAAATCTAAAACATTGTTACATACACGAGCGAATCGTACAAGTTGAGATATATAAACACCGTAAGATGGTGATAAGGGAACGTCACCATCTAAAAATGGATAATTAACGATAGGAAATGAAAAATCATCTCTTTTATCATATATTTTAGTATTAAGCTTTCCGTTAATGATATAGATATCAAGATCGAGGAAAGGGCAGTGGTCATTGTTAGTATTAGCTTTATTTAAAGTAAGTTCAACAGGATAAATTTCTTTAGTATACATACTGAAGTCGTCATTATTGAGAGCCAAAATATCATCCAAATATCTAAAAGTATTATTAAATTTGTGTATCAGATGTTGTTTCGATGGGTCTTTACTGATTTTTGTCATAAATTGTAACTCATAGCAATACAAAAAAAGGTCCGCAATAAGTGGTGCACAGTTAGTCCCCATTGGAATTCCGATAACCTGACGATATACGGAATCTCCAAAGCGAACAAAAATGTTATCTAGTAAAAATTCAAGGGCATATATAGTATCAAAGCATGTCCAATTGACATAGTTTTTTTGTTTATTGCTACTAAAAAATGACCTAAAAGAGTTTGAACATATATATTCACATTCTGACTTTTTAAATGCCCATTTAATTAGGTGTGTGAATTTTTTCTTAATGAGAATGTGAGGCAATGTGGTATATAGGGTAGAAAAATCAAAACTTTGAACAGATTCAAAATCACCAATATATGCATGCAATTTATCAAGTACTTCCAACGAGTTCTTGACACTCCAAAAGTAATTAATTCCACTCTTTTCGAAGGCCTTATTTGAACAATTTATTATCAGGTTTTTGATTGTACCAAGTGTACTGGTAAGAAGAATAGACAATTTAGTAGTGGAACAATGGCTTGAAGACGAAATGAATCTATATTTGTAAGGTGTTTTGTGTAGCTTCGGAAGCCAATACATAGTTGGGACTTTCATTGTATTTGGTTCTGCTTGTAAAGCGGTAGCTAAAAGTTTATGTTTGTTACAGATGTCGTTTTCTGAAAATGGAGTCAGTTGGAATGTTGGTGAATTGGTGATTTCTTTTTACAGAACCTCAATGTAAAATTTACGTCAAACAATAATAATATTATTAGCAGCTTTATCGGCCGGGACAAAAACAAATTCCTTCGCTAGTTCTTTTAGTTTATGTTTAATACGAGAAATAGGTTTATTGTGGTTATTGTTAAGAGTAAAATGTTCTTTAAAATGTTGAATACGTATATCAACTATGTTCATTACTGATTTAAAAAAAGAGTCCAAAGATTTGTTGTCAGCTTTTTCCCGTTTTATTCATTTCAAACAGTAAGTATGGAGTGAGTCGTGGATGATATTACGACACTCATTCCAATTAATAATTGACGGGGGACGATATTTAGGTCCTTTACTGAGGAATGATTTTAACTCTCGGTCTTGAACGATGTTAAGATCTCCTGTTATAACATGGGAAATGGGTCCATAAATGTATTCGGAATTACTGCAATTACATGAAGTAGGTGTATTTTCACTGATATTAACATCTTTACACAATTGGCTATAATTAAACACAAATTTCCGGGTAGATTTCTTGTAAATATAACAAATAAGAGGGAGCTCAGTATTATCAAAATATCCCGGAATTTGTTCTTTAACAGAATGGTCGTTAAAAATACCGGCAATATTTACAAAATCAAAACCTTCATTGACATACTTTATTTTAATAAACTGTTTTTTATGATCTTCAGGGCGATCAATTTTGGGAAACAGTTTAGAATAACAATATGCCATTATAATTTGAACGATTTCATACTTAGGACTGCTATATGAAATTGTGTTGCAATCCTCTAAAATTTTATTTAACTTATTAACCGGTAATGAACAGAGCTTTGTTAACAGATAATGTCTGCCGTTGTTTTTTGAAATAGAAATTAGGTCCGAAATATTGGTATGATTGGTCCGAAATTTTCTTTGATTGCGATTTTTTCTACGACCATGAGAACGGTTTTTACGAACAGTTTTAGAAACTATATCCAAAATGTTAACAGAATCGGTTCTTGATATATTACCAATTCCCATGATATTATCATTAAGACCGAGAGGGTAGACTGTCTGTAATTTTTTAATCCAATTTAATTCAATTATTTTCCGCGATCGTACAAACTTTGAATGAGATTCACCAGGCTGCTTATTTACTACTTCTAAAGGTTGAACTGCTAAATATTTAATAGGATGATTGTGCTTCTTAAGGTGTTGATAAATGATACTTTTGAATTTATTGGGTCTTTTAAAACGATACAGATGTTCTTGAGTGCGTTTAGACAAATATCGTCCAGCTTCACCTACGTACTGAATACCGCATCCCGGTTTGTTTCATGTGAGTAAATAAATTATACTGTTTGTTTTTCAAGTTATATCAGTTTCAAAATTTAAAGAAAATGTGCGACCATTAAACGTGGACCTTACCGTATTGTTGGTGGAAAGACGGGGACATGTAAGTCATTTTTTGGCATGACACTTATCGATAGAAGGGTAACCACGATTTTTATTGTTAAAAATGTTAGCGATGGAAGTATTTTTAGATAAGCGATTTTGAAGATTGAGACGTGTAGATACCCTTTGAACGAGTTTAGTATTTAATATTTTTTCCATTTCTAAGCTTCATATTTGTTTTTTGTTTGTGAATTATATTAGAAAGGAGCAAAGACTGGCGTCCAGAATATGAACCAGCATACAATGAATTAAATTATGTAAAAATGATAAATCTGTTCGGCTAAAGATGTCAAACGCTATCCGTATTAATTACCCGAAAAAGAAAGGGTATATTAGGGTAGCGACTGACGTCTGACTAAATAGTAGAATGGGGCTGAATATTGAAATACTACTTTTTGATAAATATTCCTAAAGTAATGAACTAGAGAAGTTCTCGCTCGGACACACACTCCATAATCTAGTATATTATAAGAGCATAAACCTGAAGCACGGGGAGGTACTCTACTGTCTCCACACGGCACTAAAGACAAACTCTGTAAAAAATAAAATTGAGAATGGAAATGGGGAATGTGTCAAAGAGACAACAACCCGACCATAGAACAGACAACAGCAGAAGGTCACCAACAGGTCTTCAATGCAGCGAGAAATTCCCGCACCCGGAGGCGTCCTTCAGCTGGCCCCTAAACAAAATGCCTTTCGTTTGTGTTGCTGTCTAAATGGCGTGTATTCTTCATTGTTTTTGTACTTTATTATACTTTCATCTTTCCTCATATATCTTGTCATACATGATATATAAATGGATAATTCTTCATAAACAAGTTTCTAGCTTAGCAGGAAATAAAGCAAGCTACACGAAATTCCTACTGAAATATGTCTCCAATTCACAATTAACGATGGAAATTTGAACTGGTGCTAACAGGTAAGTAAATTACAATAATTGTTGTACACTATAAACTTTTATGTATATCACAATACCATCTTACACGAATAAATACATAATTATCAATACATATCCTTGTTTAAGTAAAAATCAATATTCATAAAAATAATGTTCTTTTGTAGATTTTTCTAAACTATGTTGTTCGTAGTCCAATTTTTTTTTGTTGGTAGTGATCATCAAGCATGCCTTTGGGCAAACGTGTCTTTCTAACGAGGCTAAGGAAGACTTTGACAAATCTAGGAAAGCCCTGACAGATGTACAGGAAAACATTGGAAAAGTTACCAACAAACTTGAAAACGACAATAAAAAGATACTTGGCATATTTAAAGACACTCTTAACACTATGGGCCAAAAGATAAAGAAACTTAACACTGATTTAAAAGTCATTGGAACACAATTTGAAAACGACAATAAGAAGACACTTGTCATGTTTAAAGGAACACTTAATACAATGGGTCAAAAGATTAAGAAACTTGACACTGATTTTAAAGTCCTTGGAGAAGATTTTCGTAGTAAGTACATGCAAGACAATATTAAAACTGGTATTTCAAAAATGATTTAAGTGCTTTTAACAATAGATATATTTTTCATTCATAAATGTACAAGCGCGTCTAAATTGGATAAAATAATACTAGAAGTATGATTTTATGTGTATGCAAATATACAAATTGATCAGAATTGATAAATTTTCATATTGTAAGGGTTAAAAAGATTTAAAGCACCTTTGGTATGCATGAAATTGCATTCATTCACTTACTATTCTCGATTCGCAAGTATACATAGACAAACTGATCAAAGATACCAGGCGTATATAATATATTAGACTCACCAGTGGCGTTCAGTTCAGGTTCAAGCTTTCTATAGAAAAAGGCAAAATATAACTTGTTCCCATTTTTCCAGGTACTTCAAATGATTTTGGACTCGAATGTTTGCTTGCATACTGTAATGAAAAAGCAGAGGGTCAGGTACAGCAAGGTTGTTATAATAAATGGACTTCAGTATTATTACGATCTAAATGTTAGAAAAAATGCACATTGGTTACAGTATTAGTCCACTTGTGATTTTAATTGCCTCCTCCCCCATCTGTATCTTACATTTTTAAACATTTATCTTGAATGTTTAAACAATGTGATGGAACTCCAAACAAAGATCGGATGATTATGTGTAAATAAATTATTTCAAATTGACAAGAAATTTATCTGTATTTATTTCAGAAACAAAATGGCACAAATATAACGGTCACTGTTACTATTACAGTCCCGAAGCAAAAGACTGGTTTACTGCTGAAGTGAGTGAAAACATCGAAATACTATAATAATTCGTTATTTTTCATTAAAAAGACCGCAGTTAATTGCTTTTTTAAAAGAACATTTTATTTTCCGATTGATGTTTCGTCCATTCTTCTGCAAAGGGCAATCAACATTAACAGATTAAAATCAAAACAAACTACCCTATAAATAAACTAATTGCATCGTAATGCACATACCTGATTTACTTTCTGAATCAATATGTAAACGAAATTTATTTTTGAACAGAGAAAATGTAGAGAAATTGGAGGATATATTGTCAAAATTGATGACAAAGAAGAAAACAGCAATATTGCTGTAAACAAAGCAACCAGTGGTAAGTTTTGTTTATTCAAATGTCAAAACCAGAAAACATGTTAAGTTTATGACTCATTACTTGTATGCTAAAAGGATAGGAATTGCTTTTACATCCGCAGCACGTGAGTTCTCTCTCACTTTTTAGTCGGGGTTGTGTTCCTCAATTCTTGATGTATGTCTTTTATATTTATATACGTATGTTGGTTTATTTGAAACAACCATCCTTTACCCCTTTGCATTAGATAGACCTAGGTAAAAAGGTAGTTCACTGAACCTTATGAATATTTACAAAACAAAAAAGTCTAATAACCAAGATAGAATGTTAAGCTGAGGAGAATATGATAGAAAAATAATATAAATGAAAAATGTTTGAATATTAAGTTGATAATATTTGTGTAAAATTATCAATTCCTAGAAATATTGAGATTGTTTTACCAAAAAGGAATCAAATAAAGAGCATAGTATTTTATCTTAACTTTTCTGACTGTACAAGTAAAACACATAATCAAATAGTTGCTATTCAATAAAACGATACTAATCAAATATCAAAACTCCTTTTTTCTGATACACAAAATTCGACATTATAGTGTTTCCAGAATACGATTTAACAACATTTAAAATGATCCAAATTGCACTTCTTATAGTACATTCTTTTGGGAATGTAACAGAGTGAAGACACTTCTTGAAGATATCGACAAATTGACTTTCGGTTTGGCCGGTTTCACATTAAAATATAAAATGGACAGCTTCATTCGTTTGAATTTATAATTATAAACACGGAAAGGTACAGAACATGGTAAATTAATTAAAAAACTTAATTATTATTTTCACGTTAAATAATGTACAACCACCCTTTGCTTTTCTGAAGTACTGCAATGGCTGTGCAACGTGATCATAACGTAAAACTTGAAAATATTTGGATGGTGATCAGCATGGTGACCCGTCGCCTTCATTGCATTTTAAGTTCTGTCCGCGATCTAAGTTACCAAGTCATCAAACAAATCAAATATGCAGCGTCTTATCTTACAGGTCATCACTACTGGATTGGCTTGACAGATCTCAAGGAAGGGGAATGGCGCTGGACCTATGATCAGTCGAAAGCTGAGTTTACAAATTGGATTTCTGGTTATGGTGCCAAGGGCACAGATAGTAATTGCGTGCTGCTACATAATGGTAGAGCAGATTGGTTTGATAACTATTGTCATTACAAATCGCTATACATTTGTGAAAGCAATTTCTGTAAGTAGTTTCTTGATTGATATTGATGTACTCCAGCTGCATTCAATGATCAATAATACACCATTTATTGTCTTGTTTAGTTATTATGAGTCTTCATGCAAGTCTGGTCAATAGATATATTATGATAAAATCTGTAGTAATATGGGAATATCTGTTATATATTTCTTTCGCTGATATTGGTGTTTTATTTATTTTCGTTTTTTTTTTTGTCTTCAAGGGTTTGATATTCTTATTTTCCTTTATTTGTTTTGAAGGATTAATCCTTAAAATAATCTCTATGATCAACAATTGGTAATCACCATAGAAAGAAGAAGGGTAAGGTGTTCTATATTTGAGATATCATTCGTTGTGTAGCTCAATATAAGAAAAATCCAAAATGTTAATTGAATCCGAATCACCTCATGTGAAGAAAACAAAATGTTTGAAAACAATCAAGATCAGGAATATAAACTGTGCAATATTTTTCTATCTTTCTTTCTTTACTGTAATATTATATAGGCCCAAACGCTTTTTGAATTTTAGATCATGAACCCTTAGTTATCTAACTTTTATAGCTTTTCTTACAATATGTATCTTTCGTCTACTCTTGAGCCAACATCTATAGATAAGTACACATTCCCTTTTACTTCTGTTATTTGGTTTGCTAGTTATATCATTCACAATTATACTAGATCTGATTGCTATAATGTATATATGTATGTATATATATTTTTTTCACTTCTATACAGTTGACATTACACTGAAAAAGCTTATTATTCTTTTTTGATAAAGTGAATATTAAAATATCAAAAAGTACTCTTAATATTTCTATGTTTTTTTTTTCCTTTTTCAGGTTTTTAAATGATTAATAGAAGAGAAAACACTCGAAGCAAGAAAACACAGAAGAATTATGTTTAAAATGTTGAATAAAATGGAATAAATCATTTTAAGCCTACAGCAGATTTGGTACCCTGAGCTTGATTTCAGTTTTTATAAAAATAAGAAGATGTGGTATAATTGCCAATGAGACAACTCTCCACAAGAGACCAAATGACACAGATATTAAATACATAAAGAAAAGAAATAGAACATTAATATTATGGAATATGTAGGCAGCTCTCTCACAAGCAAAAAAAAACTATTGTCCTTTTTAGTATCATTTTACTTTTAACTGTGTTCATTTTGTCCTCTATTGCAATATCATTATTAAGGATATACATGTAAGTATGGAGTTGTGGTATGATTGTCAAAAGAACAACTTTCATCAAAGACCAAATTACAAGAATGTAAACACCCACAGGTCTTCTTACGGCCTTTAATATATATTTTTTTAAAGAAAATATTTTTTTCTTCGTACGTTCTACTATTAATCGTTTGTTATTCCATTGATTGAGAATAAACATAAGTGTTGGTGTTTAAAAAAACTAGACCGAAAGTCAAAAATGTCGTCATTGACATATCGTAGTTGTTTTATAAAAGAATTTAGCGTTGATAAAAGATATTTTGTAGTCTTCGTTTAAAAGTAAAAATTTGTCCAGACTCGGGTCGATTGAAAAGCATTATATCTATTATACTCGAGCTCATCTGTTTGTTGCAGAAGACTTTATGTTGACCCCTTATTATTTTTCTTTATTTTTTTCTCTTTTTTTTGTTTTTATTTTTTTATTTCTAAATGTAGCTATGTCATTGAAACCAAATATACCACGCAGTTGTTGTCGTTTATATAGATAAAAATTGTCAGCCGATGTCTCAACTCTGTGAATATTTAAGTCATATCGGGGTGATGTAGAGCTTGACATCTTGAATAGACAAGTTTTTGTTGTTGCCGGCCTTTAGATGCTTATGGTTATTTCTGCCGTTGGGTTAATGCTTCATTGATGTATATCCAATATCTTTTATTTATGTATGTTAAATTGTCTCGGCCCTTTAGATGTTTTTCATGCTCGCGATTTACACAACAGTAATTGCAGGACGTGCTTGCTGAGGGTTATTTACAAAAAGACAATTAGTTTGCAACAATTTAGGTCATGCAATGAAAGTAACACTAACTGTTAAAAAATAACACACCTCAACTACTGACATAACTTAAGAATAAGGCCAGATATATATTAGCATATGTAGCGAAGTAACCTATGTTTGTGAGATTACATTTTCCCTAATACTGGAGACATAATTTGATGGAAAAAAGCAAGACAATACACACAGGCTATAAAATCATAAGTCCTCCGAAAAGGACAGATAACACCACGGTTAAAAGGACAGATAACACCATGGTTAAAAGGACAGATAACACCTGGGTTAAAAGGACAGATAACATCACGGTTAAAAGGACAGATAACACCACGGTTTAAAGAAAACAAATGACGAAAGGACGAATCAAATTTCACAAAACTTAACATTAAAAAGTTGAAGACTGGCCTCATCATTTCATCAAACTATCAGGGGTAGAACTTTGGAGATTCATTTATTATTAGTGATTGATAAGGCTTCAATCCATAGTGGATTTGTAAATGTCAGTTGTCTAAACTACGAACACAAATTCATCAGTAGGTTCTCAAAAGACATCTGTGGCGGGGGGGGGCTATACGAACAAGGTACTAAAAAAACCTTTCTCGGACATTATGGGGGGTTGGTGTTTTTCCGCTAGACTTTCTCCGTTCAATTCATAAACCCTAGGTACATGAACATTTTATAACTCCAAAACAACTAGTTCCTTTAGTTTCATCGATTGTGTTATAAGGCAAGTTTCATTTGGTGTTATTCATAACGAAGGCAGGATGACGAGATCTGAATAAAATCAGTCCCTTTATTAAATTGATTGTAAAATGCATTCAATTAAATTCGATATATTGTTTACTGTGTTTATGTATAGGCACATGTAGAAATTAATTGTTTGCATTAATTATTCCTGTCAAATAATTGTACTGCATTTCATAAGTTTTGCAAATATTTGGATTCATTAATTAAAGATAGCTTTCAGGAAAGAAGATTACCTCTGATTATAAATCATTGATAACTTTCTTGAAACAGCACAATTCTACAATGTAACTAGTGCCAATCCGAATTTTCATGTTACATTTTCCGGTAATAAATTTGGTGTAAATCTTATGTATACATGTAATTTGGACCGAATTAGTTGGATTTTTCGGGTGTTTGATTTATCTCATTCGATATATTTCTAGGGGAAAAACTGTCATTTCTTTGCAGTTGAACAAATAATGAATTTCCTTTGTATAAAAATCTTATGTTTGAAAAATATTTAATTTAAATATTATTTACACATTTTATTTCTGTTTATATCTAAATCTGAAGTTGAAAAATTATAGTCATCATATTATCAACCAATGAGATCAACTATAAGCAAAGCCATATCTATAAAAGATTCTAAGATATATTGTAATATCAAGATTTAAGATATCGTAGCTATGTTGCTGAAATCCTTTGAGATTCCGTCATTAAATATTGTTTTTCGAGTATCGTGTTGCTTATGGTTGTAATCCATGTCATCTTTGTCAGTAGTTTTTCAAAATTCCTGATTCTCATTAGTAGCTTGCGGAGTTTTTACCCAGTCGACGTGTGCTTTCCTAGGTTATTTATTTTCCCTAAAAATCATTCCTCTGAGACTCTGAGATGTACACGCAAAAATTGAGGAGATAACTCAAATTCAAAGACATATTACAGAACCTAATTCAATCATTCTTTGGCAGCCATATTTGGACATTTTGATAAAAAGAAAAAAAGAAGAGGAGTATTGAGCCCAGCAACTCTCCAATGACATATGATAACATGACAAGGATTAGCATTGTGGTGGTTCTCACTTTATATTTTTGATCTGAAGACCGACCAGCTCCTATTTTCGAAAAATGCCTATACCAAGTCAGGAATATGGCAGTTGTTTTTCACTTGTTCCGTTGATTGATAGCGTTCGATGTTGTCAGTTTTTATGGACTTCACCCTTTTGAAATGTCCTTGGAGATCAGTATTTTGTTATACTTTTTTTCTTATGATTCACAGTAACGGCACATATTATCATACACATTAACATGAGGCAGGTGTTACCTATGAAATGGGACGAAGTCAATAAACCTTAAGAATACTTTACGATATCCCGCTAACAGATGATTTATATATTAGTATATAAACAATAATTTTAAAAAAAATCCCAGCATTTATAATTTCTGGTGAAAAAGTAAATGAATTACGGAAACATATCCGATGTTATCCCTATTGTTAGGAATTTTATACATGACGTCATTTTCAATGTATTAACAAAGAAACGCGTTCTTCGGGTATCGTTTTTTTTTCTCTCGTTTTAAAGTATAGTTTTATTAAAAACATAATAATTTATACATAAAAACAACGAATAAACAAAGTCGGCTAATTACTGATCATTTTACAGATACAAAGATCTCCCTGATTGATCTGAGATAAGTTTCCCACGAGAACTCATGTGTTTGCTATAAAATCGAATGTTGAATAAGCTCTAAACTCATTGCATTATGTACACAAACAGAATAAATTCAAAATGTTCGTCCTCATTATTCTTTTTAGTAATTAGTTATTTAAATTTGCGGGAAATCGTATTCATTCATTAAGGTCAGAAAAAAAGTAAAAAAAGAAGGTAACGATTTTGAATTCATTAGTGTATTGATTTTTATATAATTGTTTTGTTTTATTGATTTCTTTCTTTTATTGGGGATTTGTAACCATATGATTATTGTCTACGGTGCGAAGATTGTGAGAAAGCGAAGGATGTTATCCCCCAAAATATGTGTCACACAATATATGTTTTATTTTTCAAAGCTTTCAATTCACCTAATCCCTAAATAAAAGTGCGTGCAGAAATTGTAAGGACTACTGCTATAATGGACACTAATCCGCATAAAAGTGTCGACTTCATTCTGCAATAACGTGGACCATCAAACGGAAAGATGCAGATGAAAAAGAGCTGGACCACATGGACCGTCGTGTAATTTGACGATAAAACATTAAGGTGGCACGGCAGTATAAACATTCCGGAATTTTGATTGGTCTTTTGTACCCTTAAGTCAATGTATCTGAACAGTGTGATCGGAAAAAAATACAATATCTACTGAACATACTTTCCCAAACTGAGGAATGAATCAGGTATAGAAAAATATGAAATAGTTTTACATACAGGTGAAAATGAATTTTTGAGAATTATATTAAATTGTGTATGCACTGCATGATAAAAGACCTAGAAGCACTAGTGGCCTTAGGTTCATAAAGCAAAAAAGTAAACGGTCATCATACATTTTCAAATTCATTTCTGAATATTATAATGAAAGTACTTTAGTTAACTGTATAACTATGTAGAATTTTGGGCAGTGTTAGAAAGTGGTGAAAATTTTAAAAAGGCTATAATTATCCCTATGGGCCAGGAAATAATACCTTGCCACCTTAAACAACTTCATAAAGTGGAAAAAACATTACAATAATTTCTGGACCAATATCTGGTATGGATATGAAAATACGGACTGTCATATAGAAAACAGCTCATAATACATACATTATACAATCTTGATGATAAACCCACTTTGAATATAAAAATAAGAAAATGTGGTATGATTGCCAATGAGACAACTCTCCACCAGAGACAAAATGACATATCTTCCGATGAAGTTTTTTAGAAAAAGGACGAGACGTTCTTTGACATAACCCTGGTTCATCAACTTTCTGCTCAGACACTGGTGACGTTTTACAAAGTTTGAGTAGCAGGGGTACAGCAGTCAATATTGTGTTATAATCTTAATCACTATAAAAACAAACAAATATGTCAACAAAGAAAAACAAAAAGGCATACAGACAAAGCACATTAGCAAAAACGATAGACAAAAATACAAAAATTTACCATAGCACAATAACACAATGACGGGATGTATAAGTACCGAGCCACGTCAAATGGATATGACCAAAAATAGACT